TGATTTCGTTGTGGTTTCTGAGGGGAACATGACAGCTGTTGCATAGTCGTCATTTCTATTTCTTAAACTCCCTACCCTACTAAAAGTGTTCTCTTTTCTGTCTGCCTCTTCAGTAGTTCATTAATCATCTGCTGAGGGTTTAGGATATGGCTTAGGGGAGGAAAAATTGACAGAGATTGATGTGAATCTGCCTTACATGAATATAAAATAAAACCCCATCCAAAAATTACATTCTTTACTGAGTAACTATTATTTCTCATGTGTTACCAGTGCGGGCAGTGAGTGTACCCAGACCACTGCCTGTATTTCCCAGAGATAATGCTTTGTAACTTCCCTGCTTCCAGTTGATTTACACATGGCTTTTTTACAACCGGATTCAAACAAGTGGTAACCTATTTAATCAGCTTCTGAAACTGAAGTGTGCGTATGTTTCTTTAAGAACCAGTTTTTTCCAGACTACTTTGTACTTGGTAAATCTCTTTTCAGACAGTTGATTCCTAAATTGCTAAAGTTCTTACTCTGTGGTAACTTTTGCTTCTTCCAGATGTTCATCTTGACCAAGTGTACACAAGCCTTATTATAGTAAAACAGCATTATGATGATCTAGCACATAAAAACTCCCATGTTTAGTGCTATATGTCTGGCTGACAGCATGAATTCCTCATCATCTTATATGCCTGACTTAAGGTTAAGATCTACAGCTTTGTTATTTCAAGTGACTTCCTGCATGCTAGAAATGGAGTTAGAGCCAGGTTCAGCTGCTCAGTTGAGTTTATTTTGGTAGTTTTTCTAATACATAAATGTGATTTGAATTTGAAAATTGGACTTAAAGTGTTTTGGTTTTGTTTTTTCCTAACATAGCCAATGCCATGTTAGGTGCAAGACTAACACAGATGTTTTCATGGGTATTGGCTGGGGTTTTGGATGTGTTTTTAAGGGTGTTTCACTATTTCTTTTGTAGTACCAGTACCAGTGTAATGCTGGCAATGAAAGTGACTTTCTTGATGTTCCCCCCTTTCATTTGTTCTATGTATGTTTAGTAAAGAATTTTTTTCAAGGTAATTGTGAAGTAGTTTAAAAATCATGAAATCACAAGTTAATGGAGCAATTAAAGTTAGGATTTCCTAAACTACTTTGAAAAGAAAATTGAATACTTAAAACTTTGAATTTTATGCAATCCGATAGTGGGAGTATAGGTTTTAGTTCTGCAAATTGCTTCATTTGAGCAGAAAACTTGTAGGTTGGAATTAACTGTTAGTATATCTTCCCACTATTATCATACAGCGTTCTCTTTTTCTTAAAGTGCTACAAGTCTGTGGTAAGCAGAATGGGGAGTCCTTAAAGTTTAATGCTGGAGCAGAGAGTTGGATAATCCAAATTTTTCAGCTGGATCAGACCAAAACAAGCATTGAGCTTCTCTGCCTCTGAAATGTGCTTTGCTCCTAGGGCTGCATTTCCTGTATATCGAGGCAGTTGTATAACATTATCAGAGCAGTTGCGTTTAACCAGTTCTGTTTCAAGTGTGAGCCTATGCTGTGAAGAGTTAATCTAAATGAAGGAGATGCTGTCCTCTAATCCAGTATCTCTTCAAGATCTACTCAGCAGCATATGCTGCTATTTTTGCAATATGAATCTGTTGCCAGTCTACAGAGCACATGTTTTGGAGTGAAGCATGGGAACACAAAGCATTTTGAAAGTAACTAAGCTCATTAGCAGCAAGGGAGAGCTTTGCTGTATTAATTGTGATGTTGTAATATCCCTGTCTAATTAGTTCTACTACTAATTAGATTTAGAGCAATTAAAAGCTTTAAAGACTTCTGAGAAGTTGTTTGATAGGACTGTGAATTTCAGGTAGATGACTTTCTCTTTTGGAGGGAGCATCCTGGTGTCTGCTTGCTGCTGTCAGTGACTGGCTTAGATAAGTTTTCAGTTAATTACTGAAGGCTGTACATAGTCTATCATTGTTATCCTTGTCCTAGTACTATATGTGTAACTGCTCTGAAGATCTGGGTGTTCTGCAAGGACTGGCAGCCATTTGGTGTTCAGTTCAGCAGAGCCAAAAACAGAAGACATGCACACGTAGTGCTCTCATGCGGAGAGACTGTATTTTTCTCAGTTTAAAATAAACCGTTCTGATTGAAAGCATCTGCTTTTTCTTTTGCATAACAAAAGTGTTTTCCAAAATTAAAGTCTTCTGAAGTGTAAGTCTTTGCAGTCTCCTGCAGAGAATTTCTTTTTATCCAAAACTTAGTGGTTTAATTTACAAAAGCGTGTTGTGCTTGGAAACTATTGGGATGAAATCTTACTTGGGATCTTTGAGATGCTTGGAGAGCATTTAGTAGATGGTATCAAGGCTCTTATTTTTCCTTAAATAGCTGTTATATTTTAACTTTGGATTTCTGTCCTATCTTGACTATAGATTAAAGGTTAAAGCTCAAAACAGACAAGGAATTGGTTAGATGAGACTAGTTTTAGACCTAACGACTGTAGTATCTGTTTAGCAGCTTGGTCATTCTGAAGCTTTAGTGCTATGAGAGTTGAGCAGAGTGTCTCTCTGCATGAAGATTCCATCTTTGGGTTTGGATCCTCAGGATCAGAGCTGTAGTTTCTAGTAAGAGATCAAATACTTCTCATGCTTTTTTGAGAAGGGTAGGGGCTCTGCTCATGGTGAGCATGTTATTAGCTTTGTTAGATACTGAGCCAGGATTATGTGGTTGTGTTGGTCATTTATGTGGCTGCTATGCTAGAGAGACCAGAAGGCAGGATCTTTAAGAAATGTCATTACCTTAGTAGTATTTCTGGAGGGTCCCAGTAGTATTTAGGTGGAGAGAGCATGGACAGAACATCAGCACCAGCAAGGTGCTAAGAGCATCTTTATTTCTTTTGTACTTATCACTGATGTCTTTTCACTCACTTTGGAAGAGAGAGTGTCAAAGACCTGTATGTGGATGGCTTCCCAGCCTGGACCAGAGCCCTCCACCATGTTCAGGGACTCCAGTGCTCTTGCCTACAGCTTGTAAAGAGCTGTGGGGTCCTAGCTGAGCTTAAGCCAGCAACCCTGCAGCTTTAGTCCAAGATATTACTATTGACCTTTTAGGTGAAGGTCGTGTATGCTGTAGGCATATGATGATGGGAGATGGGAGCCATATGATGATGATGATGTTGATGGGAGAAGCGTGAAAACGTGTCATGGGAGCTGTTACAGGATAGACTGGTCAGATGCTTTAAAAATAATGTCTGTGTATTAGCAGCACTTCTATTTCTTAGCCACTTCAGTTTATTTTCATACTGAAACATTCAAATGAAGGATCTGATGTGTTTGGACCAGATTTTTTTCTTAACAATTTATGTCATAGATAATTTTCTCTCTCATGCACATATAGTTAAATGTTAAATGCTGTTCACTGCTGGAGGATGCAGCTTCCTCCTAGAAGTTGCTGTTAAATTTGTTTGAGTGGACTGGCGCTCTGTTTCCTGAGTACCAGCTTTCAGTGACTTTTACTTTTGACTTCCCTGTGGAGGATTTGGTGAGTTACAGTAAATGCTCTTGGCACAATTCCTACCTGTATATATAACACTTTACAAAGTTGGTTTAGCAGTGTGATGAAGAGAAATAAATATTCTATGATTCCCTTTGCCATCTCTTGAGTGGGGAAAGATGAGGGGCAGTCGAGTGTATAGAAGTTGCCGAACGTTATTCTTTAGGTCCCTGTTTGAGGAGCATCTGGATCTTCTAAGTCTAGGGCTAAGCAGCTGGTAGGTTGTTGAACTCTTAAAACATTTGAGGCTTATTTACTTTGATTTTTGTCCATTATGGAAATCATCTCTGTAGTAGGAGTATTTTGGCAGCAAGCACACAAGCTGCTGGAATAAAACCGCTATTGATGGTTAACATAAGTGTTCTTTTTAGCCTCAACTTTCTGAAAGGACCCGTTATCATTAAGATAACTATTTCTAAGTGAATGTGAATCAGAATAGAATAGCTAAATGTGCTGCATACTGACCTTCTCAGCTTTGAAGTAAGCTTAATAGAAGCAATCCTGAATTAATATATTCCAGGAATAATTCCTTGGCATTGCAGAGCTGAATTTGAGACTTTGGGTTAGGGAGAAGTACTTGATGTCTGCATTGTTACTGAGTATTTTGTCTACTTAATGTTGCTCAGCAAACCAACTGGAAAAAAAAAGGCAGTTTCACTTCTGTGGCTCTTCTGTCTCCACCTTCTGGAAGCTGATAGCAAATAGGTTAAAATCAGCTTACCGTGTTAATGAACTGGAAAGCAAATGTATTGCAAGATGTCTGCTTTGACTGTAGTTAAAGGACATCATCAGGGTTTTGTTTTAGTTATTCCAAAACACTGAGTCTATGGAGCAAATAATTGGGAAGAAAATTCTCTCTAAGCCCCAACTGTCTCTTTTTTCCATCATCTCTACATAGCGTGTCAGACTGGAGGCAGCCAGGAGGTTAGCTGCTTTCACTGTACTGTGGGCATACTGTTGTGAAAGGATGGAACTGTAACATTCCAGCTGACCTCTTCCCACCACCACCCTCTGAGTGTTTTTGGCACACGTTTTCAGAGGTCAAGAACTGAGGATTTCTGAGAGGACAGTGTGCTCCATCGCAGGTAGTAGCTGAAGGCTGGGCCTTGAAAGAGAATGAACTGTGCCTTTCATCAGACCTGCAAGTGAGAAAACAGGGAAGGAGACAGCCAGAGGGCAGTACTCGGGTAAAAGATGCTGGGGATTTCACCTTCCGCTCACTTGTTTTATGGGTGGTGTGTTTTTCCTATTGTTCCCTACCCTGTGGTAGTCCCCGGGAATGTGGATCAAATGATCATCTTGTTTTACCAGATGATTTGGAATGTAATAGGTCAGTTTGCAGCAGGCAGAGCCATGAGCTGTGGGTGAAAACTTTGTAGCCTGTTGTCACATGGTGGTATTTCAGAATAGCCTTTAGGTGGGAATTAAAGTCTTTTCTTCCCTGTCTTTGTCCACTTTTAGGTTGCAGCTGCTCCTTGGTGGTTGCCTGTGAAGGGAGCCAACTGGAAGCACCCAGAAGGTCCTGACTCTAGTATCTCCAACAGGTAAGCTTGTAAGTGTCCATTCAGTTCTCATACACAGTGCTTGTAAATATACCTGTAAACTTACTGCAGGAATGGGGGTGCAAGAAAGGGGTTTTAAGTAGTTGCCCATTTGCTGTTGCTTTTGTGACTGTTTTCCCATGTTATAGTGTGTTGCATGTGATACTCAGAAGTCATATGGTCCATGATGTAGTAGTATTTCAAGAAGTCCACACTTTCCACCTGAGGAAAAAGGGACCATACTGAAATGTGCTTCAGTGTGTTTTCTAGTCATGTCTCTATAGCAGCAGTGAAGCAGAGTGCATCTTCAGAGGGTCAGGAACTTTAGAGCGTTCAGTGTAGATCTGGTTTTGGAGAGGAAGACTAAATACTAGCTGCATGTATACTTTAGGAGTCCGTGTAGTGTGTCCTCCATCTGGGATTTGGAGGCCTCTCTCTGGCAGCAGAAGACTGGAAGCTTTGCGCTTTTTATTGTATGCTTTGTGGGGTGATTATTGTGGGAAATCAGTTGTGTCTTTATCTAGAAGTCATGAAAAATTTGTAAAACTGTACATAATAGCCTATAGTTAGTGCCACGCTTTGCTAGCATGAACCCTGCAACTTGCTGACCCATGTCTTTATGCAGTCTCTTTCCATTTGAAAGTGGAATGGATTCTATGCCTAGAAAATCAAGAGGTTTCATTATTCTTGGGTGATTTGTATGGATACTGCAGAACTAGCCCTGGGTTGCACATGTCAAAGGCTGCTGTTCCATTGACTATGTTACTCTGTGCTTACCCGGATGTGACTCTCTTCATCTGGGACCTCTTACATTGGAACTCTTGCTCTCACTAGGCAGGTGTCAATGAGGTTGGCACTAGCTGCCTTAATCAACTAGATAAAGTTCAGAAACTGCTGTTTGAAATGAAGTCAGACTCTAGCCTAGATCTAGTAGATGATGGCATGTTTCTGAGTCCTCTAAGGACAGGGCTATGTTAGTGTAACATCTCTGATGGCTGAACTGCTTAGTAACGAGTCCGTTGTCTGTTCTCCAAGGGCATTGAAAGAATTATCTGAGGCAAAAATAGAGATAATATCAGGAGGCACTGTTAGGGGGAGACAGAAATTCAGGTCACAGTCAGCAGATAGGAGCTGGAAACCTGCCATGTAAATCTGGTCTTGTATGGTGCAAACCTAGCCTACTACAACCACTAGTGAGCTTGCCTTGTGAAAGTAACGTAAAGGACCAATGCTGGCTTGTTAAACAAGTTAATGTGAAGTCCTCCATGTCTGTCTTTGGACTTGCACCTTCAGCTGTTGAAGTATCTTGGTCTATTACAGGCTTGGATCCTTGTGACAAGAATGACTTGGCATTTTTTGCCTTTTTCTGGAAAAATAGATCAGGATTGTAAGAGCAATCCTGGATCCAAACCAAAGGAAAGATAGGAGCTTTTGTGTAAGCCATGCACTGCTTGAAACACCCAAAGAGTAATACTTTGTTGGTAAATTTCTGCAGTTCCCTGTTTCCTGGATTGGGTGCTGCAAAAGGTGGTGTAGCTGAGAGTAAGGACTCTTTCTCATCTCACTTCTCCCTCAAAAGCCCCACAACTGACAGTGAAGAGACTAGCACACAGGGAAGTGAAGAACATTCACCATTACATTGCAATGTAAATTTCCTGATTGAGAATCCTGGCTTCTTGTTAAGGTATTGTTAAATTAGCCTGGCAAGGAGTAGCAATGATGCAGGCTTGTGCTTGTCTTCCTTTGAGGCTCTGAGCACCTATGTTTCTACAAAAGGCAGTGTATTGATAGTTCTTTGCTGGCTCCTGGGTGCAGCAGGTTTCTGAGGTGAGACCATGAGAAAGCAGAAGCTGCAAAAGTCAGTTGTAGAGAGCTGCTTGTAAAAGCATGATGAGACAAACAGAAGTTAATCTCTTTTTCTTCCTTGTTTTTCTCTGATGGCTGCATTTCCCTTCTAGCATCTTGATGTCTTCCTTTAAATAGCTTTTCTGTACAAGTAATCTAATACCTTCTCCATTTGTAACTGAACTGTGAACTTCCTCACTGGACTGACAGCCTCACCGGCTCACAGTCCTTTGTAGCCATCTCTTAACCAGTTTCAGAAGGTGTTTGTGCTGTATAGCTGTGAGATTGCCTATTTCTGCTGATGATCTTGTCCTGTTTGTTTTGCTCCCTAGAATGGATCATCCAGTTCTTCATGTTTCCTGGAATGATGCTGTGTCATTCTGCACATGGGCAGGGAAGCGGTTACCAACTGAGGCTGAATGGGAATACAGCTGTCGAGGGGGCCTGGAAAATAGGTACCTCTCACCAGTGTGTCCCTGATAAATGTTTAAAACTGGTATTTACTAGATAAGGAAGAGTTGTGTGGGTTCTTATTACCCTCAATGTCTTTTTCTTGTGTGGTATGTGCAGCTGTGGTAAATATAACAGACTTGCCCTGAACAGATTCCTATTGGCAAGTGAGTTTCCCTAAATACCTAAATGATAGATTGTAATCTGAGCTCAGTAATGGGAGGAGAATGTAGAGAGCCCAAGAGAGCAGGCATGTGAGAGAAGGCCGAAGACACAGGACTGTTGCTGTTGCAGGACATGAAAGGTGTCACAGCCAAATGAGTTGCAAAGAGCTAAAGAAGTAAATAACAACATCACTGCACAGCAGCTCTAGGGCCACAGGAGCCCCCTTTTACCTGACTGTGGGTTGGGGAAACAGGAAGACGAGGTGAATAATAGTCTTATGTCTTCTCCATCCTGTGTCCTGGGCTGCATACTGCACAGGGCAGCACTGCCTTTCCCTCCTTTATGTATGAATTGTCATTGTAGAACCCTTTTTATTTTATTTAAAAACAAAAGAGTGTGTGATAGCTGTTCTGCTGTGTGTCTTTGGATAGGCTTTTCCCATGGGGCAACAAGCTTCAGCCAAAAGGTCAACATTATGCCAATATCTGGCAGGGAACCTTCCCGACTAATAACACTGCAGAAGATGGATACAAAGGAACTGCGCCTGTAAGTGTGTCTCAGTGAATTAATCACATAGAAATGAGCTTAGTCTTCCTAAAATTAAGGTCTGTGTTCAGCACTATGAACTATGGCTGTCTGTGCTCTTTCACCAGTGTATTTCACTGTAGGCTTGAGGATTACCAAGGGACACTTTTTAAAAACTAATTGAAAGTAAAGATTACTTTCATTTTAACTTTTAGCTCCTCTTAAGCTGGCCTCTTTTCCCTTTTTCAAGACAGTTTATAGTCAGAAACAAATACTTTCTGCTTGCACTTTTGGCTTGGCAAGTCTTTAAACCCTCTTTTTTTTGGGTAGTTGCTCCCAAGGCACAAAAACTCATCAACAGTTTAAAAGAAATTAAACTTCCTATTTTGGAAAGGTTGAGTCTGGTATGGCAAACAATGGAATGGGATTTTAAAGGCAATCGAGAATGTGAATGAAGTTTTAAATGGTAGTTAAAGCAAGTCCAAAATCTTCATCAGTAGAGAAGTCTGCATACGCATGAGGTGACAGCTACCCTTGCTTTTTGTTTATGGGAAGGGGAATCTGGAAGTTGTAAGCATGGGCATGGAGGTCAGATCAGTAAAGCTATGGTCAGGTCTGGGTCAGCTAGTCAAACAGTGCCTCTCTATTTAGAGGCAATGAGAAGCTGCTGTGTGCCATACTGGAAATGTGATGCTGAGACCATAGAGGGTGATAATGATTCATTCTTTCTTTCTGTTTTATTTAAATGAGTTACATAAAAATGTTACAGTTCTGCACTACTGATTTGGTGTCTGCTTTTGAGCTACAAAGGCAAAAGCTCCTATTAAAGGCAAATGCACCTTCATAGAATCATAGAATAATTAGGGTTGGAAAGGACCTTAAGATCATCCAGTTCCAACACCCCTGCCATGGGCAGGGACACCTCATACTAAATCATATCACCCAAGGCCTCGTCCAACCTGGCCTTCAGCACTGCCAGGGATGGAGCATTCACAGCCTCCCTGGGCAACCTATTCCAGGGCCTCACCACTCTAACAGAAAAGAATTTCCTCCTTATATCCAATCTAAACTTCCCCTGTTTAAGTTTTAACCCATTACCCCTTGTCCTATCACTACAGTCCCTAATGAAGAGTCCCTCCCCAGCATCCCTATAGGCCCCCTTCAGATACTGGAAGGCTGCTATGAGGTCTCCACACAGCCTTCTCTTCTCCAGGCTGAACAGCCCCAACTTTCTCAGCCGATCTTCATACGGGAGGTGCTCCAGTCCCCTGATCATCCTTGCGGCCCTCCTCTGGACTTGTTCCAACAGTTCCATGTCCTTTTTATGTTGAGGACACCAGAATTGTGCACAGTACTCCAAGTGAGGTCTCACGAGAGCAGAATAAAGGGGCAGGATCACCTCCTTCGACCTGCTGGTCACGCTCCTTTTGATGCAGACTGGTGATCAGGGTTAAAAACAGTATTTCATATTGAGTGGTTGCAGAGCTGGCACTGTGTTCCCTTTCTCATGTAGGTCACTGCATTTCCTCCCAATGGATATGGCTTGTACAACATTGTAGGGAATGCCTGGGAATGGACGTCTGACTGGTGGGCTGTTCATCATTCAACAGATGAAGTTCACAACCCTGTAAGTGTTTTACTGGCATCACATAAAGTCCAGAATTCCCTCTTGCTGCTCTGACCTGACTGCTGTGGAAAACCTACTGCTCTTTGCTCCTCTCTGCTGCGCCTGCGGTGGAATGGGCTGGGTTAGGAAGTACCACACCACAAGCCATCAACACTGGAACTGTAGTGCTGTAGTGCAATTTTATTTACTTTCTGTTGGACAGGACAGGCATCCAGAACTGGTCAGCAGTTGCGTATTTCCAGACTGCCTTCATATTACATAGATCAGGAATCTGCCAAGGCAGTGGAATTACTTCCCCCCGAAAAAGGAAGTTTCTCTCTTTATGTTGCTACAGGCTGTATTACTTCCACCTCATCTCTCTTCCAAACACTTGACAAACCATTGTGTATTATGTTTATGGTTTCTATTAGCTCCTTTAAAACTCAACATATCATAAAGCTGAAGTTCAGGGGAAAAGTAGCTTGCCAGGCTTTGAGAGGTTAATCTTTAGTTTTCTCTGTGGCAGGCAAAGAAAGAGGTCCTGCAGGGCAAGCCTTGTGTATGGGGCTTCTCATGCAGTATCTCTCAGCAAATTTGAGTTCTAGCTTTACATCTCCTTCTCTCTCGTTTATCCAGGGTAAGTAAATCTGAGAAGTGCACTGCTCTGCTTTCACCGAGCTTGTTTTCTTCAGGCACAGTTATCTGCAGTGAGAAAGCCAGTTAAACCTCATGGGGCAACAGCTCTCTGCTGCAGGATTTGTGTATCCCCATGCTGTGGTTTCTCATGATCTGTGTAGCCTTTCTTTGCTGTGCCGCACATAGCTGGAGGCCTTTGTGGGATGTCAGCTACTGGAAGTAGCTTGAGGAACTTGTTAATCCTTTGTTGCTGTTTTGTACCTTGTAGAGTCTGACATTCTGCTGTCTTCCCAGAGGATGTGTCTAGCAAGGGAAGTCAGACTCCCCTTGGGGTCTAGACTGTTCTAGATATGTACCAGCAGTTCCCTTCATTAATGGATCATCTGGAGACCTCCTAACCCATACCAACCACGCTGGCCAATTTCAAGTTGGCTGTATCCCAGTAAGAAACCACAGTTTTTTCTAATGGCTTCAGCTCTCTGTCAGACAGTGCACTACCTGGATTGTCCCGAGTAACTGAAGTGCTTGGGACTGTAGATTTTGTTGTTTGATTTTAAAATAGGATGGAATGTTCTCCAACTTCTGTTGTTAGGCAGTCTGAGTGGTCTAGCAATGGCTGAAGAACCTTTTCCTTTGGGATCTTGGCTGTGTTCTGTCTCCATTTGCTACCTTTTCCACACATTGCACAATAGATATGATGTGATTTGAGTATTTCACAGCAGTCAGAATTCTTGGCCAGTTTCTGTGATTCTGCAGTAATGGAAAGCTGTATTGCAGGAATTGTCTCATGAATGTATAACCCCTCCTATCTTTTCCCAACATTGACTCACTGCTTGCGTACATACACAGCTGCAATTTAGACAGAACTTACACTCAGCATTCAAGCTAATTCTTCAGGGTTTTTTCCCTGTTTGCATACTGACTGATTAGGACAGAAGCATCGGCTGGCTTGCAGCTCTGTTTCCCTTCCGATGGGGTTTTTATATGCAGTTAAGGATAACTTTTTTTCTGTACCTTTTGAGCTGAAACAAAGGCAGCTTAAGAACAACATTTCTAAAGATAAAGTCATGAGTAGCTACCAGAATGTAAATTTAAGTGGAAGTGAAGAACAATAAAACTAGCAAACTTTGTACATCAGGGTAGACTATTGGCTTGATTGCAGCCTTCTAAGTTGGGTGTGAGGAGGAGTGGGCAATGCTGAGCTCCCCATTCCAGACGATGTGGTCACCATGGTTTGTACCAGGGAAGCTCCTGCTTTACCCTTCCTTGCTACTGAAGCTTCACTTCAGTGCCTGGAGCCAAGCACTACTGTGCTGTGTAGCTGGAGAGGAAGAGAAAGATCCTGTGCCCATCCACACCCTTGCAGAGACAAAGAGCATCAGAGGACTGGGAGGGAACACTCTGCTGGCTGTTGGTACCATATTGCAGCTGTCCCTGTTCTTGTTCATCTGTTTTGCAGTCTGACAGCTACTTCAGTCAGATCTGGCTGCTTGTTTGTACTGTGACCTCACAGGGCAGGGAAAATGCACAAGTCTTCTTCCCTAGCAAGAAGTGACAATGCTGGGAAACAAAACTAAATGTAAGTAGGCCAAGCCTGGAGAATAAAACCATTTCTGATGCAGTGAACTTGAAGGTCACAGATCTGGGTCCTATTGCATCTAGCTATGTTCTAGTTTTTGTTTGGTTTTGTCCATGGGGTACCAGAATGTGATGTGCATTACTTATTTAAACAGATAGGTCTTAAAGGCTCTGCATCACCAATGGCAAAGTTTTAAGGTGGGTTGTGGGTTTTTTTTATGCAAGATGGCTGGATTTTGTACGTGAAAGGCATGAAATGACTAATTTACGTGGAATTTATTGTGCTCATAACAGAAAGAACCTCTAGAAGTCTTCAGCCAAACTGTAGCTTTCAGCTAATCCATTTCCTGCCATTGGTGATAGTAAAATCCATCTTATTTTGTTTAAACAAGAAAATGGATTTCTCTGCCTGTATCAGCCTTTCCAACTTTTCCAAGTCACACAAAATCCAGCTAACTGCTGAAGCACGGATACTGTAGTATGATGCTCAGAGGGGGATAAAAATGGTAATTGTTTGTGTTGGAAGAGACCTTAAAGCTCATCCAGTTCCAACCCCGTGCCACAGGCAGGGACACCTTCTACTAGACCAGGTTGCTCCAAGCCCCATCCAACCTGGCCTTGAACACTGTCAGAGATGGGGCAGCCACAGCTTCCTCAGGCAGCCTGTTCTGGTGCCCCACCACTCTCACAGTAACGAGTACTGCGGTGGTGCACCTTCATTAGAGTGACTTATCTGAATGAGACACTTCTGTGTTCACGATTTCCATGCAGCAGTGCTTCAGTGCCGAATTCAGGTAATGGTGTGAATTTTGCTTTCTTTTAAGGGGCTATGAGTTTCCTTAGGTTTTTAAACAGCACAAACAGTTTGCAGACACTTCAGAAAGTATTTAAAAATTAGGTGTTAACAATGATGCTTTTAGGTTTTGGGTTTTTTTTCAGATGGAAACTAATTGTCAGAATCTAGTGAGGCAGAGCACTTCAAAGTGAATTCCAAAGGGTTTTTCTGATTAAATGGGTAAGGAAACTGAATCTCCTAATGTCCCAGAATAGCCAGGCTGCAGTATCTTCTGAGACATTAAAAATGATTAGCACCACATCTATCAGAGCCAATCTCTTCAGTCTCTCTAGAGTACAAGTTGGTGTAACCTATATATAGGATGTGTTCTTTTTGTCTACAAGATGAGGAATTCTTCTAGAGGGTCAGAGCTTAGTGAAAGTTTTTGAACATACTTAGCATAATGCCTGTGCTGGCGAGGTTTGGGGCACGCTGCGCGTTGGGTACAAGGAATGGATGGGAGCTTGTATTTGATCATTTTGCTTTCACAAATGATTACCAAAAGCAGAAATAAACTGTGACACCTGAAAGTGCTTTGTAAGTTGTTCACTACTTTTTAAGGTATCAGATTTAAATTGCATTCTAACAATGAAACAGTGTTCTTCCTCTTCTTCACCTCATGCAGGACCTGTGCTTGTAAGTGTTGAAGCCAAAGAAGCAGACTTGAAAGATTTCTGTGCAGCTCAGGAAGTATGTGGAGTGCAGAGCTTGGTACTGTGTCCTTGCAGTTACAAGTGCTAAGGTGTCAGGAGCATGGGACACTGCCAGCAATAGCGAGGTTTAGAAATGCAGCCAGAACTTCCAAGTTAGTGGCATTGAAAGGCATTGTAACTTTCAGAGCAGAGCGTCAGTAGAACTAGAGGCTTGCTTGTACAGACCTTTCTATACAAGTCTCTTCAACTGTTGCAATCCAGACGCTTATTTGTATAGTAGCAATGACTTGTTCAAAGCATAAGGAGCAAGTGGTTTGTGTTCTGAATTCCACTTCTTGTCAGATTTGTGCAGTGAGCTGCAAATGTCCCTGTTCATTTTTTACTTGAGCAATGAAAGTCTCCCCCTTTTAGGAGCACACAGGATCAGTGGAGGTTACTGTACCATACTGAGGAACTGTTTGTGAAAGCAAATAAACAATATTGTATTTGGCGGGGTTTTTTGGGAACAACTTGTGTATGAGCTTACTTATCATCTGCAGCATGGTGAATGGCCCCTTGATTTCGTGTGAGATCTTTTTACTCTCCCAGGAAAAAATGGGAAGCATCTAAGGCAGTGACATTGACTTAGTGCAGCGGGATGCTGCAGCTGAAATCTCGTACCAGGAATCCAGAACAGAAAGAACAGAAACCAGAATAAGCCCAACCTAAAATAGCTGTCTGTGGGAAACTTTTTTACACTTGGATATAACTTCCGATTTTTCTGCATTTCAAGAGGAATAGCGTCTCCCACTTATGACCTGCTCTTCCATTCCTCTCACCTCGCAGCATAGTTCTTGTCTATATTCTCTGTTCACTGACTGCTTTCTAAGCACAACTTTGTGCGTTAAGGTTTATAGTGCCAGACTATACCTGCCATGGCTGTTCTCCAGCACCCATCATTAATTTTGGGGCTCCTTTCTGAAGGGATTCTTCATGTAGGTGACTGCTGGGAGATCAAGGAGCTAGCAATCTTCCTGCTGCTCTCGGGAATTATTTTGCTTTCACTTGAAGACATCTTGGGGTTGCACTGAATGGGGCTCCATAGCAGTACAAAGACAGTCATGCAGCATGTCTTAATCATGTACGTGAAGCAGTTTTTATGTGTTCAGACTCAGGTTGGAGGGAATGGTAAAATCCACTTGAGAAAACGTAAAACTGGTACTTCAGCTCCTCCAGTAGTGGCAATTGGTGAGCAGCCAGAGCACTGCTGCTGTCAGGAGGATGCACTTCTGCACTTATTTATCTCATGAGTAGGAAAAAACCCCACAGTTTAAAACAAACTCACAAAAACGTTTCTTTGGTGCATCTTGCATCTGCTCTGTGGTGCACCAGGGCTGGGAAGCACGAGGGCTGGTTGTTGTTTGGTGCTGTTTCTAAATGTAAGTGCTCATTTGGCAGACAGTAGCCAAGTGTGTGTGAGATCAGTCAAGCCACAATCTCTTTATGGGGGCATTTCAGTCGTGGTGACTTCCGGCCCAGACTTTTTTGTATACAGTGCATAGGTTCTTCTGACCAGCAGTTCTCTGTTTGAAAACTGATTTAGCTCAGAACAGGATGGTCATTTAGCTGACTGTGCATAGGAAATGATGATGCAACTTCAGAAAGCATTTATGTGACGTAATGAAAGAAATACATCTGTTTTTTCACTTAAAAAAAATAAAGCTTCTAAGATGTATTTGAATAAGAAGCTTTGGTAACTGAATGCACAAGCACTTTTAATTATGCAATCAGACTATCATATATCTGTTATAACATTATGCTGCAAATATACAGTAAATGCTGTGCTTTAAGCCTGGGATCAAAGTCTGGGACAGCCCTGGATCTTTACATACAGACAGCAAATGGCCTTCTGCTTCAGTACCAGCTGGTGCACTTCTCCAGGTAATGGCATAAAACAATATTATTGGATGGAATAACATTGTTTTAATCAAATGTGACCTTAATTGCCATGCTCTGACTAGTATTTGTTATGGGTAAGCACAATCAAAGCAGGCTTTCCTTATCTAGAAGGAAGATAGAAGCATGAGCAAATACTAACATTTCAGGCTTTCTCTTCTTTAGTTACTAGAAATATGTGATATTAAGCTGTAACATTGTCTGGCCAAAGCTAATGATGTTTCTACACTCTTACCAAGTGTGTTAAAAGAATGCATTATTCTGGAAAAGCTGTTGTGTGGGGGAGATACTGTCTTTTTCGGATACCATACTTGAAGCCTTTTGAAGACAAAGCAGGGTCATTTTTTGGGGGGTTGGTTGTGATTTTCTTCAGTACTCTTTAAGCAGCTGGCACTCTGACAGGAATGAGTTTCCATTTTTGTCTGTAAGGGCTGCTCACTTTCTTTGTAAAACAAGAGAAAGTTTAAGCAAGTGATGTAGGTAGGAGACAGAGCATCCAGAGAAGAGGACTCTGGTCAGGAGGGCATGTATGAAGCTCGTGTATCAGAATCAGAAGCAGCATGTTGCTGGTAAGGGTAGATCTTAACACCTTTCAGGAAATTGAAATCTCTTATTCCAGTTTGTCTGTAGGGACTTGGCTTCTTCTTTTATCTCAGTCTGGACCTGGGAACGGAGCCTTATTTTGAATGAGAGATGGTAGACCAAGGAGCTGCATCATCCTTTTACCTACCTGCCAAAATCATTCAACTTCATGTGCTGAGAGAATAGTCCAGGTGGTTTCTTCCTGCATGTGACATGTATGAGGCCTCTGCAGTAAGGCAGAGGTGGAGAAAAGAAGATAATACTGAGACATTGGGCAGTACAGGGGCAGGGCAGCTGCTGGTCCTGAGCTTTATCACAGTGGCTGAGCTGTGAACTCACTGGGAGCTGTAGTACATGGCTCTGAATTAAAGGGGTACAAGTACAGCCCATGGCTGCTGGGTTGCTGGCAGATGATCTTGAGGACTTTGAGGTCTTTGGTCGCCAGTGCTAAGTAGGGGTTGTGCACAGGAGGCAAAAGCAAACCATTAGAGAGGAAATGCAATGCTCAATTCCAACACAACGTTCCTCGGGTGGGCACTGTCAGTGGTGATGGGGGATGCTCATGAGTGTGGAATAAGTATGTCTTATTCACTTAATTTTGGTTGCTTTCAGGTCAGTTCATGGCTTTTCTGGGGACCTGGTGGATATGGTACCTTTTATGGAGAGCTGAGATACATATTGAATGAAAGAATAATCACTGCCTGCTATGTTCAACATTATGGTTCCAATTTTAACTCTACAGTAGCCTTCAAATGAGAAAGTTTTTGTCAGCTGCATTTTTAACACCAGGAAGGAGAACTGAGTGCACTGTTCCCTGCCTTTGAGGAGCTGTGGTTCTTTTCTGACCTCCCTTAAATTGAGTGCAGTCATGAGCTGAGAAGGATATCAATCTAGCTAGTCTCTTGCATAGTTACTTGTGCATCTGACTTCGTACATATGCAAGTAGCTGGATCCATCTGTGGTGAAATCTGGTTATCCCAAATTCTTTGTGTCTTTCCTTTGCTAAGCTGCAGGGCAAGACAGGGAAACAGCAACCGCAAGCCCTTAGACAGTTGTCAAACAGGCAGGGATGGTTTCTCCAGCTAGCGTCTAGTGATTTACTGCTTTTCAGAGAACTTTGCCAGTTGTTTTATGGTGAACTTTTTGCCTTCAGAGATTCTAAAGAATTATCTATCAAAGAGGATAATGTTCTGCAACAGAATAGATTATTGGAGAATTCTATATCAGATTTTTGCAGGTTGTAAAGTGTTCAAGTGCTGTAATCTTGCTTCAGAGCCTGGGAGGCTATGTATATATGTGTGTCACTTTAACTTGGGTTTTGTTACCAAATAACCTTTGATGCTCAATTTTTGCCTGGTAGAAGATATTTGTAATTAATAAAAAGAGCTTATGCAATTACCATGGTCTTTAGTTGACATGCTGCTTCAGTATATCCCCTTATAATTGCTGAAACATACAATAGTCTTATGGCTGGACAATAAACCTCCTAATCCCAAATTAGCATGCTCCTCTTCATTTAGAAAAGCTACTTCGGAGCTGATAGCAAGGATTGCTGCTCGGTATTTGCATTATGGCTTTTAATGAGAAATCCTGCTCAAATAGCTCCATTGTTCTGTTTTGTCTTGTTCTCGTGTAACTTTTTTTAGGTCAGTTTTCTTCTGGCTGGCTCTATGCTGGCTTCCCTTAAAATGAGATTAACAGGCTGTGAGAGCTGATTGTGCTTGCTAGTGCCTTATCTTAGAGTGGGGATCTCTGCATCTACATGCAAGTTTTGTGATGACAGTTTCCAGAGGCCTTAGGAAAGGAGTAAGCCTGTCTCATGGAGGAGCATCCTGGTTTAGAAACAAGGAAACACTGCCTCTGGGTGTGGTTTTCCCTAAGTATCTGTAGGCAATTAAGTGCAGTAGTAGGTCAAATAAACATGAAGCTGCTGAAGTTCCACTATGGCAAGTTTTCTATATGTAGAATCACAAAGCAAACTTAGTGGATGCTGTCAGTAGCTTCTGTAGTACCAGTGTCAACTTTTGGGGCTTTCTTACAGTCCCCATGACTTGTATATTATGACATACTATTTCATATCATTTACATACTCTGTAGCAATGAACTCTTTTTCCTAGCTGCTGAAAACTGGGCTGGGTGCCTTTCCTGTGACCTGTATTTATTGATATAGGTAGAGGTGAACATCACTGCTTGTTTTTATTTCCTGTATTCCACAGATTCTTCTGATAAGGTTTTGTCTAGGAATACAGACTGGATTTATACACCCTGCCAACCAGTGAAGTAACCACAGCTTGTACCCTAAGTGAGAAATTCTTTATTGGAGGCTTGGACATGATAAGAAAACGTTTTGGCTGTGCACTGGTGTAACACGTACAGAAATAGAAATGCATGCAAATGGGGTTTCTTACAACTGTGAGAGGATTCTTAATGGCAGCACTAACTTCTAGGCTGGGCTTACCGTTAACTAATGAAACACAATTTGTTTCCTTGGTCTTGTTTGTCACTTCCAGAAGACACACGTTCTTGCGGCTCCTTCCTCAAAGCAGTTTCCCAGTGTACGTGGAGTGCAGCAAGCACGGAAGCACGTTTGGTATCAACAATGGGAACACCAAGTGCAGCAGTAGTTTCTAAGCATGAGACAGATGTGGTGGTGACTTTCACACCTAAAAGGAATGAAGTGGGAGAATTGTTCACCTGCGTAATAAATACGCATCAAAGCTAGTAAAAGCGTGTGTATCAAGGAAGCCCAGCTATCTCCTTGAACTATTAGGCCATCCTTTGGAATTGGAATTGAAAAAGAAGAGTGAAATAACCTTGTTAAATCAATTTGAGAGCCAATTTCATAAGCACTTCAAACAAATCACATATAATACACTGCAAATGTATGTGCAATTATGGAAATGTTGCTCATAACTGCAGTGCTTTCTGCAGGCCTTTTTAGCTGTCATGATCCCACGTAATAACAAATGTAGTTCCTAATGACTGAGAGATGATACACAATGTCTTGCACAGCCACTAACTGGTGGTTCAGACTGGAGTTTGGACCCCCATGAGAGTAAGCACCAGATTGGCATTGCAGCCCCTCATTGCAATGGGCCACCAAGTAGTGTAGCTGCATTTGGAAAAGTGGAAGTTCCCTGTGTTCATTTTGGAGTCCTAAGGGTGTCTGTGGCTTTGTTTCAAAGCAGAGGAACTGATGAGAATCATGGATTGCACTACATGTGCAGGCCAGCCTGTGAAAACTTCCTCATCTCTCTTTAGGAAAAGCCTGATAGTAGAAAAGCCACCTGTGTTCACATCAGTGCTCTCTCATGCTTGCCACAGTGTTTTTTTGCAGCATATCGCCAGGTGCTCGACAGAAACAAGGCACTCCGGGCCAGTGGGCATCAACTCGAATGTGAAATCCATGCAGCAGTGGGAGGGAGCACAGTCACTGTCTGCAAGTCTACAGCATCATTATTCCAAGCTTTCTGGTTCAGACAGAGCTGACGTTTGCTTACCTTGAGTACTGATGGCTGCTCCTCCTTATTGTTACAGCTTTTTACCCCTTAACTTGTAATTAGCAGCTGTTTCTCCCTGAATACTTAACCAGTGTCCTCTCCTCCACAGAAAGGGCCCTCATCAGGGACAGACAGAGTGAAGAAGGGTGGATCCTATATGTGCCATAAGGTAATGTGGAAAGGCCTGTGGTATTTTCATGTTAATCTTTCTTCTAGAAGGACATGACAAGAAAATGATCTTCTGACAGTTTCCCAACAGCTTGCTAAGGGGTTGCATGCAATTTAAGGAAAAGTGATACCTAATGTTCCTAAGGACTTCTTTTTTGTTAGCTTGGAAGTAAACAAGCTGCTTTACTGAGCATGAGGCTTTTTTAGATTTAGAAGTTGGGATTTATGTATACTTCTAGTGCTTGTTTCATTATAGTGCTTGAGTAATACTTGTAAGAATAGAAAGTATGGATGTGACTTTTTGGGAATGACTCAGGATATCAGGTTTGCAGAAGGGAGATGAATGTTTCAGCTTAGTCAATAGCACCCTTGAAATGGTTTCTGAAAGGTTTGGATACCACCACAGTGCAATGGCTGTTCCTGACATAACTCAGGTTTTAAACTGTGTTCACACAGTGCTGGAAGAAATGCTCTTTGTGCATCTCCTTTTTCATTAAAGCTCTCCTGCTCTTCTTCCCTTTCAAAGCCTGCAGCTGGCAAATCCTCCTCGTAATTAGATTACATTTTCTACAAGGAGATCCCATTTTCTACACCGATTTCCTCCTTAGGTGAAATCAATGTCAGATGTTAATTAGCAGTTTTGATTAAATTAACACTGGAATAGACTATTCAGTGATGAATAATGTGACCCATTTTAAAGGGTTGTGAAGATTCTGGTCTGTCCTAGTCTTTTTTTTTTTTTGAGGTGATAAAACTAGGCTGTGTATCATGACAGAACCCCCACTGAACACTATTAGTACAAGGGCTCTTTATTAGGTGTCTAAAAATCTATTCCCACTAAGCTGTCTGTGCTATTGCTCCTTTCCCTCTCAGAGCTGACAAAGGCTGAAGTCACACCTTCTTACATGTATGCTTAGTAGCTACTTTTATGGTCAGAATAGTTCAGCCTGTGAATCCTATGGTGTCCTGTTGAGGGGTTAGGGTAGACCTCTGCACTGTGAGATAGCAGCATGCACTGTGTGTGTTCAGGACAAAAGCTGCTCTCTGGCTCTGCACCCATATGGAAGAGCTTGTGAGGAACTGCTGGTGAATCTCCATAGATGGAGATAGTGTTCACTCATGGAGATAAGCATCAGTGATGGCATTCCCTTAATGACAGAGCTGCTTCAAGTGTCATCGTCCATGTGGTTGTATGAATTGATCTGTTTGGTAGCTGTGCCCAAACTCCTGAAGGGATCTGGGGTAAAGGAGAAAAACGACCTTCTTCTCCCTGTTCTCTGCTCCTCCATGCCTCCCCAGAAAGGGAGGGGGAAACCATGTTTGCTTTTTAACTCAGCCATGCCAGAAGTCTGCAGCTGAACTGGCCTTTATGGAGGTGGTGTGGTTTTCTGTCAGAGGCCAGGAACCTGCAGTATAGGAACGAAACCACTGAGCCAGGTCTTTTGAAGTAATGTCAAATGGGCAGAGCTTGGATTAGACTGGAGTTGCTACATAAACACAGTCTGTGCTGCCCCAGCACTTCATAGTGAAATTACCAGTGTGCCTTCCAGGGCACGATGGGTAACTGTTTCTGGGTGCTGACTTAAAGCAGCAAACATCTTAAATGGGTTGGTTCTGCAGTTTGGAAAACACCATTCCTAATGCCGGAGAGTTGAGGATCTGCAGCACTGTGCATAGCATGTTTTTCTTTTTTCAAGGAATGTAAGTAAGTATATTCACATGCCCTGAGATGTGGCCAGATCTGTACAGCCAGGGGACATACAGAACATGTTACACACCAGTGTCTGTACTGGTCAGTAAAGATGTCTGACCTTGTCCTTTTTAGATTCATTTGCCTAGCAGCCTTTCTTAAAATAACTGGTACAAAGCACCCTGCAGCAGTCCTTTTCTGAATATTAAGACATTTTTGGTCTAAATTGGTCTGTCACAGAAGTATCAAATCCTACAAGCACAAGACAAGCAAACGTGGGAATGAAAGCAGAGGCATTTCCTACTGACACGCACCAGTAGGATCAAATGCTGCGTGTGGTGGGTGTGAGGACAAGTCCTGTGCATAATCTTGTGCTGCTTTCTCACTTCAAGAAATAAAAGAGTAATGGTGGTTCCTCCTTTCATTTCCTGCAAGGTGGCTGCTGTGTGATTGCAGCCCATTCAGGAAGAGAATAGTGCTCAAAGGTATCTACTAGGAATATCTGAAATGCAATTGAGCCATTTTATCAGTGCCTTAATTTTAAATGTAAATGTTTTTATAGTCAGCAGTCCAGATTCTATCTCAGTTATAAGTATCCCTAGATTATTAGCCACAGAAATATTGGAAAGGAGTTTGCCTCCAGTTAATCCCATTCTTGTTGCATCTTTCACTGAAATGTTTTTTGACACATGCCAGTACCTGTCCATTTCCAGTCTTTCCTTAGGATGCTGATACACAGATCAGGGCACAAAGATGTGCTCTCCTCTGAGGAGAAGCAGAACAGTTGTTCTATCCATTTCTCAGGGCAGGATTATTATTAGTTGACATGTTATCAGTTGCTTTGCCATTCAAACTGCCTTTTCTATCAGCTGCAGCTGGCCTCTGTGTGTAGAGGGATTCCCCTTATTTCTAACACCATGACTTTGATCTTTATCAGTTCACTGACCTGTCATTTGAAATGATTTGCTGCATCAGTCTAACAAACTCTTCCCTACAGAAGCACAAGCTGTGAATGCTCTGAAGTTCACTTGTCCTACTTTCTCTGCAGTCTTACTGCTACAGGTATCGCTGTGCAGCCCGTAGTCAAAACACTCCTGACAGCTCTGCTTCCAACCTGGGATTCCGCTGTGCAGCAGACACCTTGCCAGAGCTACAGTGACTATAGTGTACACTACGGTGTCACACCGAGACAGCAAGGGCTGAATTTCACCCATGGAAGAAGAGAGATGTGGAGTAGCACTTGCTGATGAAGTAGCACTTGCTGATGACACTAAAACTTCCTGCTGAGTTAAAAAAATCCAGCACTACTCAGCAGTGCTTGAAGAAACTTTATGTATTTATTTTTGGGGAACATAGCCTGGACTTTTATCCTGACCAAACTTCTTATCAGTGAATTCTGTTGATTTTAGCACAAGTATTCTGGAGGTAACCAGCACAAAACTGAGCAGAAATACCCCAGTTGTGTTTTTAAAGGTTAATTAACAGCTACTTTAGAGAAGTTCTTTATTAAATAGTTTTATTCATGCATAGTTCTGAATTTCTACACTCAAATCCAATAAACAAGAACTTTATAATTCTATACAGCTTTAAAGGACAACCGAAGGAGTGAAGAGGGAGGACTCACAGGGAGCTGCCAACATGTGCAGTTAGTGCAGCTGTGCTGTTACATTCCTGTTGCAGTGAAAATCAGTCCAGAAATGTGCTTTTTCTGGTGAGATACCTGCTCTTCTTTATAAAGTGCCTTCTGCAACTGAGGGATGCTAATCTTCAGGGTGATGGCGAACAGAAACGTTGTACATATTTGAATAAAACTTCAAGGATTTATTTTTTCTTAAGACTTTTAATGATGGAAAAATACTGTCAATTTCCCCTGAATTTCTTGGATGTGTTGTAGGCTTATTCTGGGGACTTGCAAATTGCAAAAATGGCATCATTATAAACTGAAGCTTACAAATGATTCTACTTGAATAAAGGTCATTAAAGTGAAAAAATGGCAATGTAACTGTGAGCCCTAAGGCCTAATAAGGTAAGTTTTGAAACTGTTCTGTTAATAAATTGCACTTAAAAGGAAATTTTAGCAGGGAGGGAAGTAGGACTAGGGAGAGCCACCTTGTTAGGCATCTGAACGTATTTCACGCCTTTCACGAAGTGTTTTGCACTGCCATCTACTCCAGGACACAGCATCTGGTTGTATTTCGCTGTTAGGCAATCGCTTGCTCCCAGTACAGACGGAACCAGAAGCTACCTCTGCAGTAAGGCTGCAGGAGCAGCAGGACTATCCTTACAAACAGGTCCCTGCCCTCTTAAAGGCTGTGGTGCTGCCCACATGTAAACTGAGAATAACTGGGCTGTCCTGCTGGCTTTTATTGTGTGAAAAACACTGCACATTAACAACTTCGGCATTGATGCATCCCTGCCAACATTGTGTTTTCTGCAGTAAATGGGGGTTGGGTTTAATGCAACCTGGGGTTAATACAAACCCATCACTTGCCAGCTCCTTCTCTGGCAGTGCTCCATGCTGAAGACACTGGAGAACATATTAGAAGCTCTTCAGCAAATACCAGCCTCTGGTGGGGGGTAATGGCAGTTCTTGCAAGTGGAGGGGGAAAAACTATTCAGAATGCACCGTTATGTCCTGGCACTCACATAAGCATGATAAAAACTGTGGCAAGGATTTTGTGTGATAAGAACTGCTTTAAATGAAATGTTTCATTAAAATCTATGCATTCCAACCATCTATTTTACTGTGAAGAATAGTGAAAGAGTCTTTCTATTGTTAATTCTAAGAGGCATGTCTTTGCCACAAGAAGGAATATACTTTATGAAAGACTTTGACTGGAGTTGTTTTGGTTTTTATTCTGGAAAAAAAAAATCCTAGAAAAAGATACACACAATTGAAAAAAATTATTATGAATTCAAGTAAACAGTTTCACGAGCACCATCAGGTATGTCATCATTGTGCTGTTGTTGGCACGTGGGGGAAAAATCTTCCTGTTTGTCTGTGGAGATGGTGGAATGTGTCCCATTCATCGTGCCCTTGTTAGGATAATGGCTTCTGTGTTTTATTATAAGGTCTTTCATTGAACATCTTAGAATTAATCTGACCAGATTTCAGTAAGAAAGTAAATCTCTGAATGCTAGTGAGTATTGAAATACTGATGATCATTACTGCACTTTGCAAGTAGAAATGAGGAGGAGGATTTCACCGGTTTCACAGTCCTCAGAGCCACTGGGTCGGATTCAGTGTGAAAGAGAACACTGAACTATGGAGAGGTAGATTAGGACTTTAAAACTGAAAGGAACCTGAAGGAAAAAGTGAACAGAAATTCAGCAGATAGAAACAAGGGTCTGTTTTCTCTTCCAGTTCCTTTTTAGGGTTTTTTTTTTTTTTCTTTAGCAGATAAAGCACTAGCACTACAGCCCAGAGCAGCTGTAGTGCTAAGGCAGTTCAAAGCCCAATGCACATGCTCTGTGAAAAAGGCCATTAACAACTGCTGTGATGGTTTAAAACTCAATGACAATGTATTATTTAATGATCTTGCAAAGCCTTTCATGTGGCTGGCTGTTTTTCAACAATGGCTCTCTTGTTCCACACTGTGGAAGCTTGTCCTGACCAGGTAACTGATTATTTGCTTTACTTGCTGCAAATAGCATCAGCTGGCTTGGACAGCAAGGGTTTGATTGCAGAGACAGATGGCTTAGCTATATCCTCTGGTTTAAGGCTAGTGATGCAAGGGCTAGATATTGCTAACGGTGTTTGGGGTTTTGTGTTTTGGGGGTGTTTTTTTTTGTGAATCTACACTTCCTTAACTACTCACAATCATGCCAAGTACATATTCATAACAGGAAGCTAACAAACCATGCCGCCCTTCTGAAAATGAGGAATGCAGATGGTGTAAAACTAGTCTTGAAACTTTTTCCAGGAGGGACAGAGGAAGTAGATTGGATCATCTGCTCCCAGCCTTTCAGTCCTGCAGGCTGAAAGTGGCTGGCATAGTGCCCTTTAGGAGAAGAAAACCAGATAAGCCTCCACAAAGAACAAGAAACCCTGCACTCCAAGCAGCATGTATTCGAAGCGCTGGGATCTGGAGAATGGTTCTGTAGAAGCAGGCACCTTAACCAGGCAAGGAATAAAGATAATGGCCACTCAGCCATTAGTAGTAAACTACTTCTGAGAGGCAGCTGAAATCTTGTCAAGGGTCGTGGGTACAGTTAAAAGATCAAACTGTGCAGAGCAAAAAACCCCCAGGGATTTGTGCCACCAACAGCACATTGTGCATGAGTGTGAAAAGCAGCACTGCAGGTTGTCTGTCAAAGCTGGGGGGAATTCAAAACAACCCTGTTTGAAGCTTCCTTAATTTGACTTTTCTAGAAAGGAAGTGAAGTAACATACAGTTGCAGGGCATACCTCATCCAGCAAGTGCCCTTGTGTATCCCTGGCATAAGGGGATGCTCAGTAAAGCAGCATACCTGTGTTAGACCAGCACAAACACTACTGAAAGAAGATGCAATGACCTCCCTCTGATGGGGAGGGATGAGCCTTGCTTAATGGTGGCTGGCTCTGTAGGAATTGTGAAAACAGATCAGTTAGTAGCTGGAAGGAACACTTGTGTAACTGCCACCCATTCAACATGGTAAAAAGACAAATTTGTTGTTCAGCTGTATTTATCTATTTCCTGCTTAATCCATCTCAGAAGTCAGGATAACCATCATACCACTTAAGACTGGAGAGTCTGAATTTGCTTGCTGACACTGTAATAACAGTGCTGGAAAGTAACATAGACATGCTGCTTACTATTACTGCAGAAATCTTACTAAATGAGCTTTGGGATAGATGTCATCCAAAAAGATGGGCTGACCGTACTTGAAGCCTGCAGAACTGCAGGATTTACACACAAGCTAAATGGTAATGAAATTGAACCAGCCACTCAAAACCTGTTTTTGCATGCAGCTGGATGTGACTAGAGATGGAAAAGGGGAGTGGTGGGGGCAAAGTATTCAAGCTAATCTTTCTGGGCAAAATTTTTTACCTCAGTAATCATGTATGTTTTGTGGAACAAAAAATTTATAGCAAATAATTTAAAGACAGTAATTTATTTCCATAGGATTTAAGAAACCTCCTGCCTTTCTGTTAAATGTCAAAATTCTTCAATCATGGAATCATAGAATAGTTAGGGTTGGAAAGGACCTTAAGATCATCCAGTTCCAACCCCCCTGCCATGGGCAGGGACACCTCACACTAAACCAGGTCACCCAAGGCTCTGTCCAGCCTGGCCTTGAACACTGCCAGGGATGGAGCATTCACAACCTCCCTGGGCAACCTATTCCAGTGCTTCATGGCACTCCCTTGTGTAGTTTTCAGCAAGGTTTCTTCTTGTTACAATGTATCCTTTCAGTGTAACAGTGCTCAAGTTCATTCTTTCTGAAAGGTACAAATGGAGAGAGCTGCTGTAACATACAGCAAGCTGTCAGAAAAAAACAGGAAAAAACCTCACAAATACCAGGCCTGGCTTTATTCTGGACCGTCCTGAAGCTCTAGTACTCCCTCATGGCACTCACCACAGAAGCAGTCTCTGGATGTTGCATGAAGTTATTCTCAGTATCCTGACTTTTAGTTACTGCTCAAACCCAAGTGCTTTTTTGGTGGAATGCAGTTTTAGTTAACTGCAATTTAACTGCTTGAGAACATCATACTCGTTAGGTATGCTTACAGCCTGAAAACCTATGGAGAGCTCCCTGAACAAGCATTTGGTGTGGAAAAGAGGGAGCTGTCCCAAGGTAAGAAGGAAGCACATGTGCGGGAACCACAGTAGCAAGGTTTCCTCAGTCTGTTGTCTTCCTCTAAGGATTTCTGTTCTTTGTCAGTTACTGGTAAATTATAGAATCTTCCAGAATAATCAAATGAAAGTTCCTCTCCAGCAGAAATGTCCGTAGCTGCAAAAAGTGCCAGCCTAGGCACCATTGAGTCAACTCGAACTGGCACCATAAATAAATTGGGTTCACAGGAATGATTCAGGAACCTGCCTACATTACCTATGTACATAGGGTCAACAAACGTCTCCATTATCTCACCATTATGGAGGTGCTCCCTTACTGCTATAATATAGTTTGAATCGTTTGATGTCTGGGCCTGAATTCTTCTACATGCCTCATTAAAGCCTAAAACTTCACCAGCATATTCACAGACAAATCTTCCTTTAGCTATGAATTCCAGCGTACGGAGACCCCACCCTTTCTTCTCAGTC